AAACATACCAATATTTTATATTAAATTGTTTTTATTTATTATGATTTGCTTGACAACGAAACTTCTATCTAAACTACATGCACAAAAGTAAAGAAATTTTTAGTTTTTTAATAATAAATAATATAATAAGTAATTTATATAATTATTCCTTTTATATAATTATACTTTTTAATTATGTATATACCGTATTATTTGATTCAGTCTTTTTTATTGCGTCGAATGTATCACAACAAAATAAGATATCGAAGCTTTCACCAGCTGCAATAGATATTGTTCAACACATTCATTGTACTATTCGAGTAAAGTTCCGACACATAAAAGCTTATATTATTTTCTTACCATAGCGAAACATTCAAACGATCCTACAATCAGTCCTTTGAGATTTAAAGTGAAATCTTTGGTACCTCTTTGTAATAGAAAAAGTATCATTTTTTGAATGTATATGGGAGTCATATACCATTGAACACTGTACCTGTAAAATAATATAACGAATAAAAAGATCGAAAATTTGGAAAAATAAGAAATTTGTGTGATTATTTAATTAACGTTTAAAAACATACACTTTAATTATTTTACAGTTAAGATATTCACAGTTATATATTTTTTCAATGTATGTACATTATACATTTTTACAAGCTACTTATGTGTGCATTATAATACATATAATATTTTATAATAAAATTCTCTTACGCAGTAATGAATACATAATTAGTATGATCTATAATATTCTGTCCGGTATAATTGGCTAGAAACATGTATAAAATACAAATTGATACGAATATAAAGGGAAATAATAATTCTTTGGCATTAGCTTGAGATGAACTAATCTGAAAAATCTAAAATACAATTATTATTGTTAAGAATTAAAGAAAATATGTAGAGAGTTAATAATATATGTAGAAGTCAATTTTCTATATCTACATATTTTTCCGTTCTATCCATTATTCTTTATATAATAAGTTATTTTTTTAGAAATTATGATTGATTTATATGAAAAATTTTGCACATAAAATTTATTATATATATTAATTGATCAAAAATATTAATATAAAAGTATATGCTTTCTTACTATAGCATTAGATTGTGAAATATTAAACACTCCTACAAAAATAAAGATTTTAGAGACACTTACTCGGAAGAGGTTGGTGCTCAAAGAGGTTACTGCAACTGCTGTTTGACAGAGCAGCATTATCTCAAATTTAGACATCAACATTTTGGACAATCTTTGAATATAAATAAGTATTATTATATAAGATTTATATTTATAATTTTTACATACTAACTTCATAGCTTGCCGATGAATATCTATAGCACAAATTATTCCTTCGAATATAAATTTCTCGTTCTTCGCAGAAATATTTTTCAGTATATTGATTTTCATTGCGCGTTCAATACGATAACTATAAATAATATCGAAAAATATTCTTTTTGTTTTAAAAAATAAACTATTTTTAGACTTTCAAAATTTAATAATTCTTTGAAATGATTAATAGAATTCTATAATAATAATATAATTGTTCTATTTATGATTTAAATTTTTATGACTATGTCTATATTTGTTTCATACCTGGAAATTTTAAACATTCCACATGTAAATTGAAAATATACAAATAACATTGTTCCTATCCCTATTATTGCAAACAATCCTATGCAAAATGCTGCGTTTATATGTAACAGAATTAAAGAGAAATATTTTTCCTGATCGATAAAATATTCCGTTGTGAATTGCATTCGATGTGCGTGAGATGCATTTATCGGTAAAACGACATTAGATGTAGTCAATAAAAATTCAGCGGTAATAGGAGTAAATACACTGCAAATGCCAAATACTAAAGAATGTTAGAAAGTAACTCATATAACTTTATATTTTATAATATCTCAAAATATTATTGTACTTCATATTTATTATAAAAATTAAAAATTTTATATTTTTTTAAACTCAATGATAATTGATTTTTATCGTTTCTTGTTAGTTATTAATTCACAATTTTACTCTTCATATTCGATTTAAGTGTCTTTAATCACAAATCATTATTTTCCTTTCAATATGTGTAACAATACATATCTTAATAGAGCATCCAATGTATTGTACATATGTAATTAATTATTATTATTTATCAAGATTTATTGTCTTTTATTGAAATCTTGACTTTATTAACAAGAAGGGATATAATCAAATATAAACAATCAAAAATATCCTCTTACTTATAAGTGCAGCCGTATAACATTTTCCAGTATAACCATACTTTTCCATAATAGCGTTTTCATATTCATCTTGTAGTTTAATGTATACATTTTGAAGTTGCGCCAGTAAATCCTTTACCTGTCAGTCCAGTAACTTTTTATATTTTTGTTTTATGTTTTTTTTTTCAAAAAGATCGTTGAATATACAAATTTGTCAGAAGTGTTAATTTAATCAAATATGGTAAATACGGTTAACTTACAACTTTCATCTTAAAACCAAACGAGATGTAATTTATTACAAACATAAGTAAAGAAAGCGTAACAGACAGAATCTTGAGGACGAGATCCGAAGAACATTTTGAAGTAAAGAACACAGTGAACTGCAAGTAATAATTTTATTTAGAAATGTTTGTATTAAAAACTATTTTTCATATATTTAATAACTTTTAAATTATAGATATTCCTTTACATATAATAATTTTATGATAAAAATAATTATAGTTTTATATCTGGTGATTTGCAAATATTGTATAATTTCCATAAAAAAGATAATTCAGATTGTAAAAGTCAGAGTTAATATTTTTCAAATTAATTAAAATCAGCAAGCATTATTTTTTAGCAGAGTTTTTTAACTCATTTCTATTATGGATAAGCGTGTATCTGTTATTAAGTATTGATTTTTACAGCTCTGCAGGTGTTATTGATTTTCTCTGTTCCGCTGACATACAATCTCGATTTTTTATATATTACATATACGTACATATATATTGTATACATTTTAATAATTGCACGTTAACAAGGTCATGGCAAAATTTAATCGTTAACGTGCAAATTATTTAACCTTTTATATTATAATATTGAATTAAATGTCACATTTTCTTTACTTTCTAAATCTTTTTTCTGTTTATTAAAATTCCAAAGTTCTGTAGATGAATTTTTAATAATTATTTTGCTCACTTTTAATAATATGTATCAGACATTAATATATAATGATATTTTTATATTAAAGTTTTTTTATTGTAATTATTTTTACTGTTGAAATGTTGTTTCGATAATTGCGGAACATCATAATTATGATATAATTATTATACATATATATAATTATTTTTTAATATAAGTTATAATATTAAATTATATAATAACAGAAGATATATTATAAATTATAATATAATGTACAGGTTTTTTCAAAATAATAATATTTAAGACGGGAGATATTGTCTTACTTGAAATAAAATAGCAGTTGTAAGAATACTCAGGAAAAAAATAAACCGAAATCGAACAAATTTTGTTTGTTGATAAGGCCACAAACCTACAGCTAGTAGAAGACTTTTATTAAGACCAAAGTATCGTGTCTCGACACAGATCATTTCTCTACGATTTCCAAAATATGACTAAGAATAAGATATCGAAGAAATACTTATTTCTTTCTTCTGTATTCATCGATCAGATATTATATGACGTTCTCTCTTCTGATGTAAATTTTCACACAATTTTTGTAATGTCGTTTATATGCAAGATTACTGTTATGGTGTCAAACACACTCGTATTTTAATAATATTTCTCATGAAATCTATTACACGATCAATTTAATACTAATAAAATTCAGCAGATGTTCTATTTCACATAAAAAAGACTTACTTGTGACAGAATTATTTCCACGAAAAAAGTTGCGCAAGCGTATTCACTTAAAACTTTTACACTCGTTATTTCTGTTCGTACTTTCAAACTTTATCTATAAGAAGAATGTTATTGTTCCGCTCTTTAACCTTAAGTATTTTAGAAATTGTAAGGTAATGTAATTTTTTCTTCTTTTTTTCGAAGAGCACGGAAATACCATTATATTTTTTGTTTTTTATAATTTTATAAATAATATATTAAAATTTCGAAAGTTTAAAAGTGTTAACGCTGATAATTACTTACTTAAAAGAAATATCTCAACAAATATATCTTTAACAAAAAGAACCAAATAAAGAAATAATATCGAGAGAGAGAGAGAAAAAGAGAGAGAGAGAGAGAGAGAAAGAGAGAGAGAGAGAGAGAGAGAAAGTTTGTAACACAATTTTATTTTAAAGTTTAGATCTGAATATGACTTATTCTAATACTTTGCGAACATAATGTGCATTAACGTCTCTAATTAAGTTATTTTAAGCAATAAGTTTTACTGGACCGTACATTTGAAATTTTATTTGAAGTATTTCGTGTTTTTTTGGTTGTATTTAAAATGCTTTAAGTTCTCTAAATTATACAATAGGTTTATAATGAACATATATACCTAAATCGTAGACACTTCACTTTCTAAAAACGTGAAGTAGTGATATCAAAAAGTTATAATTTTTTATTATTTACATTCATCAAATTCTCAATTAATCTGGTTTTACATTTGGGTTGTTATAGTGTAGAATATATAACAGTAAAGTATGACACTGAAGCCTTCACCAGCTATGACAAATGATATTATTAGAGTATAAATATGTATACATATATATATATATATATATATATTCTGTATTTTAAAGTAATGCATAAAATTATTAATCCATATTTATAGAAATCTTTAATTTCTTTAAACAATATAATTTTCATTTTTATTCAAGATAATTATACCACTTAAAAAGTACATAATCTTTTTGCAGAAACTTACTCATTTAGCCTGCAAAATGAGTGCATTAGAAAGAATTAGTTGAGTATTACTATAT